TTAAAAAATATATTAATTATATTTTTAAAATACAAATTAAAAAATCTAATTTAATAAAAAATATATTAATTATTTAAAAAAAACCATAAATTAAAAAAAATTATTTTTTTTTATAACAGTCAATATTCATACATACTTCTCGACAAATAAAAAATAAAAAGTCACTGATTGCAGAGCTGCAGCCTGCAGGGAGAGATTTTCCTACTTCCCGTGAAGAAAATTAAATTACTAAATTAATTTTATAAGAAAGGGTTGTAAAAAATTAGGATTATTTAATAATCTTAACAGTATCAGAAGTACCTATCAAAAAAAAAAAAAAAACAGTATCAGAAGTAGGGGTGAGACAAAACCGGTTTCAGTTTTAATCTAAATCGGTTTTAAAATAACTAAATTTTTTTTTAAAAATTTTGAAAATCAAAATTTTCACAAATCAATCGGTTCAACTACAAATAAAATTGGTTTGATTTCGATTTTTGATAAATAAATACTAATTAATTTTTTTAATAATAAATTATATTTTATCACATATTTTATCATATTTATCTTATTTTTTATTTTTTAAGAGTTTATTTTTGGTTTTTAAATTTTAAAAAATTTAATCAAAATCAAACTAAAACTTATTTATTTAATATTAAAATAAAAAAAATAAACATTAAAAATCATTAAAATCAATCCTAATTCAATTTTCAAATAACTTATCGATTCGATTTCAAATATCCAACCCTAATAAGAAGTATCCATTGTGTGATTCTTACACTAAGATCTACATGAGAATCGCATTTTCCGGTTCAAATGATCATATTTTTTTTATAAGAAATAAGATAAAATGTAATACATAATCATGAGATTAATTCTTCTATTAGTATTTAAATAAATATTAATTTATTAATTATAATTTAAAAAAAAAAAAAATTGACATAAGAATCACATGAGAAACGAACTTGATGGTGTCACACCTGTTAAACAGTCGTGACTTTTCGTTTTCCATTAAGGAAAAAGAGGTTGAGCTGAGGAGAGAGAGAGAGAGGGTACAGTGACACGCGCCCAATCACATGCGTTGACTGACGCTTCATTTGACGCTATATGGCTGCGTGTGAGGACGGATGCGCCGCGATGAAGCATGGTGTGCTAAGACTCTCTCTCTCTCTCTCTACTTCAAACCTTCAGACATATGGGGTGACGGGACCAGAAGTGACGGCTTCGTGACGCTATCGTGATACATTCTTATATTTATAATAATAATAATAATAAATAAACAATAAAATAAAATTTTCTAAAATTAACATTCATTTTGCTGTATATATAATAGTTATAAAAAGGGTAATAAGGAATGTGGGAAAAGTAAAAAAGGGTAAGAATGAATGAATGATTTTTTTTTTGTCCTCAAATGAATTATTTTTTTTAAACAAATACAATTTAAGGAAGAGAGATAAAGAATAGCATTGTATTATTATGTTTTAAATTTTGATTATCACAAAAATATTAAATATACCTAAATATCTTATTTATGAGACCTAGTCCAAATGAATTAATTATTTAATTTACATAAAAAT